TTAAATATATTTTTATTTTTTTTAATTAATAAAATATTTTGAATCCGAGTTCGAGTTCGAGTTCGAGCATGAATAATCGAACTCTTGTCGAGTATACGAATCAAGCTTATTTTTACATATTAATTGAGCTTAATCGAGCGAGCTCGAGTAGCTCGAATTCGATCACGAATCGAGCTCGAGCTTGAAAAATAAAACTTGATCGAGCTCGAGCCGAGTATCGGCCCCGAGTTGTGAGTCGAGCTCGAGCTCGAGCTTCTCACTACTCGGCTCGGCTCGTTTACAGCCCTAATTAGCACCCCCACAACGCCTATCAATCGGTACCATTCAACTATGCGCTATTTTTTATGTTGGATAAAAATGATTTTAATTTAAAATTTAACAGTAATTCCCTTCACTTAAAAAAAATAAAAATAAAATTCTGTCAAAATATTTATTTAGAACTATTAAGAAAATCTTTAAATTAAATAATTATCTTAAAATTCTCCATCGTCTAGGCAGAATTTAAAATAACTCTTTTCACTTAAGATTTAACACAACAATCCTTAAAATGAAATAGCACTCTTTATAAAAAATTGTTGGTGACTCTCCAACATCTAGGCAGAGTACCAAGAATTATTTTTTTCGGAATGTTATTTTTATTTTATTTTGTAATATCATAATTTTTTTTAAAAGTAGTACAAATAAAAATTAAAGACAGAATAGTACAAATAAATATTGATAATAACATGCTAACGTATGTATGCCAATAAATGTTATGAAATGCAATTTAAGAGTTGGATTCTTAAGTATAATGAGACCACCCCGACTCTCCAACATCTAGGCAGAGCTTAGGTGTAACTGTTTATATTTAAGATCCCAATTTACTGTTATACTTTTTATTTATTAATCTTATTATTAATGTAAATTAAGAAATCGTGTGAAAAAACTTAACGAAGTAAAATTTCCTAAATACCCCATCATCTAGGAGGCATTCGGGAATAAATTGCTTCAAATAAAATTTTCACACGTGTCTTTAGGATTTTTAGGACTTTGGATTTCAAGGATTTTGAATTTTTAGGGGTTTAGATTTTAGGGATTTTGAATTTTTAGGGGTTTTAAAAACTTAGGATTTTGAAAATTAAAAATTATTGTTTAAGGTTTAGGTAAAACGCGAACATCTTTAAAAGTCTCCATCATCTAGGCGGACTTTCGGAGTAGGTTCAATTTTTTATAATTTTTGAAAACTAATTAAAAATTTTTTATATATATATTTTTTATGAAAATTTATTAATAATTACCCAACATCTAGGCAGAATTATTTCTTTAGAAAAATATTTTTATTCCCTCAAACATCTAGGTAAAATTTATTTTTTTGAGCATTTTAATATATTTTTAATTATTATTCATTTTCAATTTTATTACTATTAAAACAATTAAACATTTATTCTAACAAATTTATAAATTTATCATGCATAAATATAAAAAATATATTTAAAATAACAAAAATAATAATATATAAAAAAATTCAAAAAAAAATATTTTTTTTACCTGAATCGGACCGGTCAATGGTTCGATCAACGCTAGTCTGGACCGGTCTGACCGATTCTGTGGTTCGATCGGCGGTTCGGGCGATCCAGTGGTTCGGATCGGCTCAGACCGATTCACTGGTTGGCTGAAGCGGGTTGGCGGATCTCAGGTTGGATCCGGGTCCACTCGCGAATCCTCGCTGGTTGAAAACGGCGTTGTTTTGGCCCTATGCCCAAAACGATGTCGTTTTGCTTTTAATTTTTTCTATAAATAACTTGAAAAAATTTTTTTTGTTCATTTGGTCTGTTTCAGAAAAAAAAAAAAGAAGGAGAGAGAGAGCTGGGGGAGAGGTCCGCAGGCTTATCGCCATTCGACCGTCGGAGCACCGTGCCGGCCGTCGCCTGGTCCACCGTCGGCGGTGGTCACCGGTGCCGAAAAATGGTGAAAAGGTCACCGAGGACTCCTATAAACGCCTTCTTTCTAGATCCGATCTCCTTTTTATCGAAAACAGCCCCGATCAGCGTAGATCGGGGCTCAAAGTTTCTGCTTTCAAAAAAAAAATTTTTGTTTGTGTTGTGGAAACAGGATTGATGTAATTTTTTTTTTTTTTGCTTTTGCAGGTAGCTTCGGCGCTGGGTTCCTCGTTGATTCGGTGAAGACTGTGTTATTTTTTTGTTTATGTTTTTTTTTTTTTTTTTTTTTTTAGTTGGTGTGGTTTCTTTTTGAGTATTTTGGGTGTTTGGGAGTGTTTTGAGGGAGGGATAGCTCGTTTGGTGATTTTTGGTAGGGATGAAGTGAACGGGTTCCTGTGCGTTCGAGAGAGATTTCGAAAAAGATGGGGGGGGTTCCCAGAGGTTGAAGGGAATTCGAGCCTTCAGAAAAGGTATCTGAGAGAGAGGTTGAAGGGGATTCGAGCCAACTTCCTTTTTCCCCCCATTTGAAGGGGAAATGGCTGGAGATTTTTAAAGGTTTCAATTAGGGGTATCTAGGTGGCTGTAGGGTTGTTAGTTGGTGGCCGTAGGGTGACTGGTCGGGTAGTTGGTCGAGGGTTGGTTCAGCGCCGTACCAACCCCTTGACTTCTGTCTTATTTTTTTTTTTTTAATTTTTAATTAATATATATTTTATTATTATTGTTATTATTATTATTAGTATTAATATACTTAAAATGAAAATAGTAGACCCAAACAAAACCGGTGTCTATAAGATTATTTTATCTATAATTTTTTTTTATTACAATTCTACATTTTTTCAATTATAATAAAGAATCATGTAGAAACTGACCAGAATAAGTGTGGGTTTCATATTAAATTTTGATGAAGCTCAAGCAATTTTGAATTGTGATTAGTTAATTGTACTGCAATGATTGTAAGTGATATGTGTTCTGTTTGAGTTTGGTGTAAAAAATAAATTATCAAAATGGTTAAAATATTGGGTTAATATCATGAATAATCCTTAAATTATATGAAAATGTTCGATGTTTTACTTGAATTTAAAAAATTTTTAATATGATATTTAAATTATAAATTTGTTAACTAAAATAATATTTACCTCTATCGTAATTAGTTTCAAATGATAATATTAATGGACAAATAATTCTCTAATTATTATATTAATTAATAAATTCATAGTTGACATCATATTAAAAATTTTTAAGTTTTAAATATCACATTAAATATTATTATATTTTGTGAACCATTCATCACATTAATCCTAAAATATTCCATGGAACTAAACAAAACAGGATGCTCAAGTTATTGAAGATAACGGGTATTTTACCAAAGCCACCCTGACTGTAATTGTACAGACACACACTTTACTAAAATGTTTTTGATAAAACTCGAAATTCAACACCAAAACCCTAAACCCGTCATTGTTAAGCCATTTAGTAAGACACAAGTGAGACAGTGTTAGCCAGTCAAAGTGGCAGCTAAAGAGAAGGCTTGTGAGCATATACATCTGCATCTTTAAATTTAAGCACCATTTTCCCCTTCTTGAATATCAGTAAGAAGAATTGAGGCTTCCTCAAGCTGCCACTGATATCATAAGCTGGAGAATTAATTGGCCAAAACAATCACCAGAATTCACCAGAAATCAGAATTTTAAACTTTGCTTCAAGGCCTGCTTATATTAATTGGCACAGAATTCTAGTGTAATTTTGTTTGTTAGTCATTTAACAGATGGTTGGTTAGTGAGTGAGAAAGTATGATCCTTACACTGAGAAGCAAGCGGAAGATTATAACTTCAATCTATCTCGGGTTCGAAAGGCAAATATTCCACATTGTACCTGAAGTTTTGCACCATCGAAACGGAAACAGTGCAGTTATTTGACGTATTTTTGTATATATGAACCCTTCCATATATACCAGACTAGACCATCCAACAAAAAGTTTCTAGCTCTGCCGCTCTCTGTATGAAACTTATTTAATGTGTTCAAAAGACGCATCAAATATGCTTTTTGATGGTGTTCGAGTGTTTATATAATGGGCCTTGGACAAGCCGACGGATGATGGAAGAAGTTCGGAGCTATCAAAGAGCAAAGAATAATCGGAGTTTGAAATCGGTCATACTCTGATACTCAAATTAATGAAATATTAAAGACAAAATATCAGAATAACATGATCCAGAGTTTCTTGTTTTACCTTGTATCTTTTACACCTCATACTTGCTAATATTGGGTTTGAAAGGTTTTATATTTTGAAGGGACTGATGTAAAAGTATGGTGAATTAATAAAAATTTAATAAGAAAAATTAATGTTCAATAAAATAATAATGTAATTAAATAAAAAAAGTTAAATTTCTTTTTATGATTAAAAGAAGTTTTTGGATATTTAAGAACAATTTAAATCTAACTAATAATTTTTTGAAAAAAATAAAGAATAAAGGTAATACATTAAAATGTTGAATTTACAAATGAAAAGTTTGATAAAAATAAAAAAAATTATAATGTACATTTAAATTTGTAATTTTATGTGCACAATATATGTAGGTAGTTGAATTTTTTTTATTGTATTTTTTTTGCCTATATAAAAAAAATATTTTGATATAATAATTAATGTCAACATATTTGTTTAATTAATTAAAAAAATTCAGGAACTAAAAATTCAATGAAATAATAATGATTACATTAAAAAGAAAAATTTTTTTTGAAAAGGGAAAGAAAATCAAATTATTTATTGCATCTACAAGTAAAATTTTTAACAGTTTAAAAATTTTATCATATTATTACCATTGTTCCTAAAGAAGGACCAAATTATTAATTTTTGGCAATAAAATATAATTTTATATTTTTTGGATGAAAATCTATTTATCTTAAAGTGATTTTGATGAACCAATAGGGAGCCACCGATAAGGAGCCAGGGCCCCTGTCAGTCTCCTCTGGATTAGCCTATGTTGTAGGGATTTAATTGTATAATCTCCTTCTCAAATAAATTTAGTGGATATTGGTTGATAACTATGAGTAGATTAAAATTAAAAAAAAAAGCTAAAAATGAATAATTAACCAATTTTTTTCCTTATTCATAAACACGTAATAAAATCACACTAGTAAACTACCCTGATATTATATATATACTCTAATTTTGTAGGATTAAGAGGCTAATTAAACTCTCACAGGAAAACCATTGATTTTCCATGCCAAAAATTTTTTCTTAGCATAGCAAAACATTCAAAATATCCAGATTCTAGGCCATATCCGTCTAGCTTCATTAACAGCCCCGGAGCAGTTCGATCATCATCAACGTTTACGGAGACTTAATAACTTCACATCGTCAACAATAGGGCCGCATAGAGAAGAGTAGTCATCACTCCTCATAGTGTAATACGTGCTAAGGAACATGATTCTTGTCCTGTTGGAAACAGCCTGGAATATAAGCGCAGCACGCTTGAATCCACCTGTGCCCTTTGACTCGTATGGGACTTTGAGTGTGGCTTTTCCGGCGAATGCCTCCACTACCAAAGAACCTACACAAGAGTTGTTAGCGTCTCCTACGGAGAATGAGAGCCTGTATTTTTTGCCAATGATGGTTCTTGCTATTTGAGTGATGGCACTCTCTTTTCCAGCTACTAGCTCCACTGCTCTTCGCCCTTGAGGCACAAAGTAATGGGCTGAATCAATGTATTTAACGGCCTTGAGTGATTCAACTATCCAGCCAGGGAGAGGAGAGTGATCATCCTCAATGTTGGGTGGTATTAGGGTACCCCATGGAGTGTCGGGGAATATATATGCACCTTCTTCATAACCAGCATTTTTCATTATGTTCTCTGCAGAAATAGAAAATTGAAAAATTAGTCGTTAATTCGCTATGCTATGACACCGCCTATGACGTTTGAGATCAAAATTCATAGTGGAAGAATAGCATTCAATGTCATGTGAAATGGGAACAAGGTGTAAGGTATTTCGTTAGTTTCTTAAATGAAATTGTCTGTTTGACAGAACCATTGGTTTCTTTGGTCTACAGGATTTATGGGAGGGAATGGCTTGGCTTGAACCCAAACCTTCATGCCTGCTTTATGGTTTCTTTACCGTCAAGAATCTGAAGGAGAACTATTATGGGCTTTTATGGCTTTCTCATTATACCAAAAAGAATGTGGTTATATTTCTAGCAGACTAGCGCCACATAATTACATAGACTCCTACAGCAGGAATGACCTATAATTTGGGCAGTCTCCTTCATAATTGTAGCCCATTAAACATTTGCTTTTGCCGGTTGCTCCATGTTCTTAAAAAAAACGGTAGAGCAGAAAAAGACTGCAACCAAATTTCTATATCTATGAATTCCCCCAGGTACGTGAATTCGAAGAAACAAATTTCAATCAGTGCTAATTAACTAGTGTTAGAAACATAGAACAAACAGTATTTCATGGTGAAAAAAAAGACATACTGTTTGTTGGTCTGGGAGGATATAAAGCCTTGATAGCAACAGCATCAATGAGTGGTCCACAAGCTGGATCCTCCTCCACTCCCGGGTTATGAATTATCAACACTACAACATCAGATCCTGCTCTGAATGCCCATGCATAGCTGTCCCAACCGGTGCTGCTATACACCGTCTGGATAGGCAGCAAACCGGAATCCGGTGCCACAGTTACATTCAATCGCTCCTCTTGAGCACAAGTCCGTGCTGCACTGAATGTGATGGAGTAGTACATCCCTTTGATCACCTTTATCTTCTGCTTGATGGATGCCTCGTTTCCGAGCCTGACTGCATAGGCTCCCTCGGGCACCACCAGCAACATGTCCCCTTGCTTTTGCCCAGACTTTATGTATTCAACAAAGCCCTCATTTTCCCATCCTGGTATTGCATAGCGTCCCACAACCACGGTGCCCCTCATATTTGCTGCATTTGGGGCGAGCTCAAAGTTACCATTATCTAATAGCCCTGAATTCAACAATCATAGAGAAGGCCATGAAATATTAATATCCAATCTCACGTTTTTCCACGTTAAAGCCAATTATGTCTTTGTGCCATATGGGCAAAATTAAAAATGGACAAGACTTCAATAGCTCACTTGTTCTAGTTTCTTCAGTCAAATTTTAAGTGGTCCAGAAAAAGAACACAGACAGTGAGATGTAGATGAAAAGATGTTCGAGTGATTACATAAATAATATGAATTGAAAGCGAAAATGCAAAGAAATCAAGAAACAGAAAGCTATTCAGCAAGGTTTTGGTAATCTTTCCTTAAAATAGTAAAGTACAAGCCTATAACAAGTTATCTACTGCTAGCAACAATTGACGCTAATTAATACTATATTTTAACATGCATCGTGTTCTCCATCTAAACTGCATAGTGGTCCTAGAATTTATTATATTTGATCATTTATGTATAGTATCATAAATAAATATGAGTAAAATATTAAAATATTATATTATATTTTATGTAAATATATTAAAATATATTTTTTATTTTTATTAAATTTATTTACACATTTTATTAAAATCTTAAATTATATTATTTTTATACTTTTTCATGTATTTTTTTATTTTATTATCATATCATGTTCCAAAAATCTGCTCCTATATATTAGAAATAGGTTAATTAAAACAACAGTGCCAAAAAGTTAAAATAAGATATTTTAAGAATAAATTGGCATGGCTAAAATTTTCTGCTTTTGAGGTTGGTGGCTGTGCCAAATATCCCTGAAAACCTCTACAGTTAGACTCTAGTCATGAATTTAAGTCTATCAAACACGCAAATGACCTTAAATACCCTCCATCAATACGCAAGAATATCGGAAACAGTAAGGTCAACACTTGTCATTACGAAAATCACCAGCTCAATCTTTCCAATCCCATAAGTAATGTCTTATTAAAGTCTTGGTTTATATACAAAATAACATTTCTTGTACTGTACCAACCAAAAATCCCAATTTCCGTCTCCATATTCTTCCAAATTCAGATAAGACAGGTTAGAAACAACTAGTTAGAGCAGCAGCTGCTTGAATCAGGACACATCTATATCACCCAATAGTGTTCGGCCAAAAGAAATATATATATATATATATATATATATATACATATCATACCATTATTAAAACTATAAACATGTTGTAATCAAGGTTTACACAAATTGTCTCCAAAGCAAAAATGAAGAGAAGGTACAGAGATTTTTTAACAATATGAAAAAAATCATCTTTAATATTGTTTAAAAAATTTAAAAATGCGTCCAAATACAATATATATTATTGATAACAATTATGTTATTTGTTAATAAAATATTAAAATTTTAATTTTAATATCTAAAATTTAAATTCTGATAACATCAAATATAAATATATATTTACCGTCGGCCACGGTGCCATTGGTAGCGGAAAGGGCGATATGGCAGGTGGCGTAGAGGAGGACCGACAATACGACGAACAGTTGCATTGCTGCTAGTCTTGTGTAATTTACAAAATAAAGCAAAAGAAAAAGTGAGAGATGCGTGAAAGTGGCTCAGGGCAAAACAGAGGAGAGACAGGGCTTATATGGATGCCCAGCTATAAAAAAATCCCTCAGATTTTGGCAAAATAACGAAGTTGACATTTGGGAATGTGTCTTCACGTGGGGTTTTCTTTAACGACGGAATTGCCCTTGGGGTTACAAAACAAAATTGAATGATCTAAAATTTGTGGTTGTCTTCTGGCGGAGGTTGAAGACAAAAGCTGTTAAACATCACATGGTTTCACTTCCAAAGCTGTTGCAACGCACGCAAAGGACACGACCATCTAATTAAAAGCCTAAGTCTCCGTTGCATTCTGAGGACATTTTCGTCAATTGATCTCTTTTAATTAATTAGAACATTTGGTTTTAAAAATATATTTAACATTTATTTCCTATATATGGGCTGACTAATTGATTTTTCATATTCTTAATAAATTATTTTTTGTTAAAAAATGAAAAAAAATTACAAGTACAAGAATTTAAATCTTAAATTTTATGTGTACCAACAAAAAATTATTAAGATCAGTACATTTATTCACCTTAGATGTTTTTTTTGCTTTAAAGATAAAAGACTTAATTAAGGAATTTTTTTTATACCTAACAGCTTCGTCATTTATTAATTAGGGCATGATGCTAATTAATAGACATTAATTTTGTCTTTCGTTACTAAGAAGTGTCATTTCATATGGATAAATTGATTTTGATGCTTAAACTGGGGTTATAATAGTTTAGTTTGATTTTACTTATTTCAATTAATACAAAATATTTTAAATTTTTTAAAATTAATCTGAATCAAAAACATAACTTTCATTGAAATCTATTCATCACTCACTTCTTAAAATTTATTTTTTTACTATTATTTTAAATATATTTAGATATAAACTAATTATTTTTATTTTATAAAAATTTAAAAATTATATAAAAATTTATATTTTGATTTTTTTATTTTTTATTCAAAAATTAAACCGAATTGAATTAAAATATTTAACATCTAAACCATCATTGAATCAAATAAAATATCAATCCAAATCAAATAAAAAACTACAGTTCAATTTTTTTTTCTCAAACTTTAAAACTAAGTATAAATAAAAGAAGAGTTGAAAATACAATTAATAAGATATAAAGAGCATATATATATATATATATATATACATATATATATATACTCATATATACATTTGAGTCATTCTCCCTTAAGGTATGACTTTCAAAACTTTTAATAGACAAAAGCCCCATTTTTTCTTTTTTTAATATTTGTTGATTCTTAATTATTAAAAGTAAAAATTTAATATTTTACAAATAAATTACAGGTTTGATAATAAATTTTTATTTACAGCCAAATGTAAAAATCACTTGGCATGGAATATGAATTAGTAATGCCAATTAATTAATCAATATTTATAACCTTGAGGCTCCATTTCCATACAAATTCCTCTTTCTCTCATCCCCAATGTTTAGTCTCCCTTTGTATTAAAAAAAAAACGATAAAAAAAAAACTCATTAATTTTTTTTTTTGAGATTTTTTTATGTTTAAAAATCACTTTAAATTTTGATTAATCAAAGTCAAATCAAATCAGACTCTACACGAGAGACAAATTTTTTTAAATTTGTTTTTCATTCATAAGATTTCAAATTAAAATTTTATTTTAAAAAATTGAACTCGAATCAATAAACATCTGTAAAATCTTTAGCTTTATTTAGTATCATTCGGAAACTGAATTATGAAGTCAATTAATGCAGAATTGTTGGGAAATGACAACATAGGGGTGTATTAATCAGGCGGTTGACAAGGGACGTTTCTGTTTGGATTATGCTGCAAAAGTGCAAAGCATACCATTTGCACTGTAGAGTATTGTGCCACATTATCCCCAAAATTCCTCGAATCATTAATTAATTAACTTGTTTAAATAGGGTGATCAATTGTTTTAAAAATTTTTAGCTGAAGATGGTGGGTGAAAAAATTTTTTAAAATAAATATTTTTCAAGATTCAAACTCGAGAGATCTATCATATGATAGGTGATTGATTAAACTATTATATTTAAGTTTTAAGAATTTTTTTTCTTTATGGAAATTTTTTGGTGCATTAATGTATATTGGGTATAACTTTGTTAATGATCTGATCTTATTAGCAAAAATTTAAGAGGAATCCATTTATATAGGTGTAAAATTAATAGAATATTACATTATTTCATAATTTTATATATACTTATATTTTTTTTTGTGCTTTATATATATTTTTTATATATTTTAATTTAATTGATCTATTATGTGCATTATTCATATAAACCATTCATACTAAATTTTAAATTATTAAAAATATTTTACTATTTTTTTGATATATATAATAAAATTTTAATCGCTAAATATATATTAAAAATAATATTCTCTATTGATATAAAAAAGATATCAGATTATTATTTTTTTTATGAAAGATATCAGATTATTTTTCTACAATATTTTCAGAACTTAATTGGGTTGAAAAAAAAAATCAAATCACAATTGTTCAATTCTATGGACACGAAAGCTCTCAGCCTTTTGCAATTAACTAATAAAAGTTTCCAAAATTAGCATATTACAAAAAATGTATTTCGTATCAATCTTTTATATAAATAATATTAAAAAAAAATTGTCCAATGTGGATAACCTTTATTCAATTGGTATCATCGCGTTCTATCTTAATTATATTATTCATATTTATTTCTTTTTAAATTGATTTGCTTTTATATAAAATTCAAAATATTTCAATGTATTAATTATATTATTTTTCTTTAAATTTTCAATTAACTTACATTTTATTTTCAATAAAATGTCTTAAATTACAAATCAAAACTAAATCAATAATACATTATCATAAAAAAATTTCTTAATGGTTCACAGAATTAATAAATATTATAATTACAATCATTAAATACGTTTTTAATGATTCAAATAACTTTTACTGAAATCTAATAAGAAATATTACAAAAAAAAATTTAATAACTACTAAAATTACGATCAAGAGTTGATTCATTAATCAATTATTTGATTCATTCATATTTGATTAAATATAATTTTCAATTGAGTAATAGATGTTATTCATATATAAATCTTGCATCTTATATCTTACATAAATATATAAAAACCAAATTTTTAGCAAAAAAGGAAAATATCCAATGTGCATGGCTTATAATATTAAAATATGGACAATTTTTATCAATCGTCATGTGTCCTATCTTAATTATATTTATTCATATTTATTTTTTAAAAATTGATATAAATTGATTTACTTTCATGTAAATTTTAAAATATTTCAAAGCATTAATTATATTATTTTCTTTTAAATTTATAATTATATTATTTTCGATAAAATGTCCTAAATTATAAATCAAAACTAAATCGATGATACATTATAATCAAAGAATTTTTTAATAATTCATAGAATTAATAAATATTATAATTACGGTCATTAAATACATTTTTAATGATTCAAATAACTTATATTGAAATCTAATTAGAAATATTATAAAAAAATTTAATAACCACTAAAATTATGGTTAAGAGTTAATTCATTAATCAATTATTTGAACCATTCATATTTGATTAAATATAATATCTAATTGAGTAATAGATGTTATTTATGTATAAATCTTATATCTTATATAAATATATAAAAGTTAAAACTTTTGACGAAAAAAAAAAGTCCAATAAGGATGGTCTATAATATTGACATGTAGACAACCTTTATCAATCATCACATGTCTTGTCTTAATTATAGTTATTCATATTTGTTTCTCTTTAAATTGATATAAATTGATTTGCTTTCATATAAATTTTAAGATATTTTAATGCATTAATTATATTATTTTCTTTTAAATTTTTAATTGATTTATCTTTTATTTTCAATAAAATGTCCTAAATTATAAATCAAAAGTAAATCAATGATACATTATAATCAAAGAATTTTTTAATGATTCACAGTTACGGTCATTAATTTTTTTTAATAATTCAAATAATTTCTATTGAAATCTAATTAGAAATATTATAAAAAAAATTTAATAACCATTAAAATTACAGTTAAGAGTTGATTCATTAATCAATTATTTGATCTGTTCATATTTGATTAAATATAATATCCAATTGAATAATAAAAGTTATTTATGTATAAATCTTATATCTTATATAAATATATAAAAGCCAACACTTTTGGTAAAAAAAAAAAAATCCAATCCAATTTGGATGACCTATAATATTGACGTATAGACAACATTTATCAATCATCACGTGTCCTATGTTAATTATATTTATTCATATTTATTTTTTTTTAAATTGATATAAATTGATTTGACTTTATAAAAATTTTAAAATATTTCAATGCATTAATTATATTATTTTCTTTTAAATTTTCAATTGACTTACTATTTATTTCCAATAAAATATCATAAATTATAAATAAAAACTAAATCAATGACACATTATAATTAAAATTTTTTTTAATAATTCATAGAATTAATAAATACTATAATTATAACATTAAATATTTTTTTAACAAAGAATTTATATTAAAATCTAATCAAAAATATTATAAAAAAATTTTATACCCACTAAAATTACGATCAAGAGTTTATTCTTTAATCAATTATTTGATCCATTCATGTTTGATTAAATATAATATCCAACTAAGCAATAGATGTTATTCATGTATAAATATATAAAAATAATAAAATGATTTTATATATTTATATAAGATTAATGATACATTATAATGTTAAATATTCATCTTTGTTATAAAATCAATCGTACATTATAATGTTAGATTTTATATATATGGGTTGTGATCAATAAATCGTACATCCCATTTTATCTTATATAAATATATAAAAATCAAAACTTTTGTTAAAAAAAATGAAAAAATCCGATGTGAATAATCTATTTTTTTATATGTGGATTGTTTTGAACAACTACCCTACATTTAATTATTTTGATTTGACTTCATGTACATTTTTTTTTAATTTAAAATATATTTGTTTGGCTAAATTAAGTTATTTATTTTCTTATATATATATATATAAAATATTCTTGCATTTTATAAATGTGTTACAAATAAATTATCTTAAATTATTTTCAACCAAAATTAGTTCTTAATTTTAAATATTAATCATGTATACTATAAATAAGAAATATACGTTGAAAGCATTAACTATTTAATAACTGTGATTTTAGTATTTAATTAAGAAATAATTTATGCATTTATTATCTTAAATGAATATAAAAGGCATATGATGCTAAAAATTCAAACTTAAAATAAAACTCTAATTAGTTGGAAATATATTTTCATATTTCTTTCTATATAAGTATTAAT